TTATATCGTCAGTTATATCGTTATCGCAAATTTTCAAATGTATATCGTGATAAATATTTTTGGTCACATCGCCCTGCTCTATTCTCAATGTGTTTCCAGTGTTAAAGCAGGGAACTTATGAACGTGGTGTTTGCTAAGAGCTCCCTTTGTAACCAGATGTAGCCACATGTGAGCAACTGAGGGCCTGCTTGTGTTTTCCCGGAGAATGTGCCAGCACTCACTAGCTGCAGGACTTCCTGTAACTCATACTGTGACAGTGTGTGATTTGGGACCTGTTACTGACAGCCGTGCAGGTAGGTAAGCCGGTGAGGTGAAAATTATATATGTTTGCCGCCTGGTATTTATTATTACAAGTCGGCCTTGTGTTTGATGCGCTCGCTTGTCATTAGCGCTGGCCTCGCTGAAACTGACAGCACGGCAAAACGCAAAGACGAACGGGGAGGGAAGGAGGGGGATGCGGGGATGAAGCAGAAGGGACGTGAAGTGAAAGAGAGAGAGATATGCAAAGCGCAAACAGACACACCTGTCCAGCCTGACTCAGTGGTTGGGACAGCAGATGATTCGAGGTCGCACGCTCATCGCTGAACCCCCTCCTTTCTCGCTGCATCTGCATTGTTTGATCTGGCCGGGGGTTGTGTTTTGTGTGCGTGCATAACTGTGTGCTTGCAAGTCTGTGTCAGAGGACAATTGTATGCGTGTGTATTTGGTGCAAAGTCCTGCATTGTGCCCAAAGTGGAGCACCAATCCTGAGTCAATGGGCCAGAGCAAAAGTGGTGAATGACCCTGACCTAACCCGGCCGCTCCCTCTCTGTCAGTGTTTGTGTGTCAGGATGTGTGTGTGTGTGCGGGTGCCTGCCATGCTCTGTCCACTATATTGCTGTGATTTTAAATAACACACCTGGCATTACAAGCACATTGCAAGAATAAAGCCTGCACTGAAAGTCCAAGCATCTTAAAATCATCTAATACACGGACAAAAAAAATCTAATAAAGTGTGCAAAGCAGACTCGCACAGATAATAAAGGACAAGAAGGAGGCAGAAGGAACCAGATTATAGAGCGAAAGGTATTCTGTAAAGGAAACAAGCCCTGAAAGCTTAGAAGACTAAAATGGCAGCACGACTTAAGGGCCCGAGTGACAAAAGAAAAATGGAAAGAAAACCAGAAGGACAAGTCGGTTAAGAAAAAAAAACAAATCTCAATTAGACTCTGAGATGATTTCTAAACACACTGAGTGCACTGGTTTGCCCTCTATGCATTTCATTTTACTCTTTCAAATCTTGTAAATTGAGATAGGGAGAAATTGAAAGGAGCAAACAAAGGAAATCAGGCAAACGAACATGCAAATTGGCTGCTGTAAATTACACACGTGGTGAGAGCGAGGCATCGATGGGTCACAAACAGAGAGGCACAAGGCTCCACTTTTCTCACACTTTCTCCTTTTTTCAATCTCTTTCTCAACCAACTCTCCCAGTTTGTCATGTTTCTTCTATTTGTCCCACTTTTCTCTCCTACTTTAACTAAAAAAATTGTTAAAATCTCCTCTTTTCTCTGCCTTCGACGCCAATATCTGCAGCCGTGCTCCTGTGTTCTTGCTGCACAGTGATGAATGTGACGTGCGCTGCTCAGGGGGGTGTTTTTCAACCCCCTGTTGCTCACAAAGACTTTTCAATTAGCGAGTCACTGTTTGAGTAACCTAAGGATTGCTTTAGTAAAGTGTTATTTATGGTAGAGGTCAAATGCACCGGGGATTATCATAAAAACCGTGGGGGGAAAAAAACGGCTGTGACATTTGTTTTCTCTGTGTCCTCTGACTGTGTGAGAAAAATTGTAGGAATACAAACAGGCTTGGAGAGATCGCACTCTGGCAAATAAATGCACACACACACACACACATACATGCATACAGACACGCATGCAAAGCCAAACCCCTACACTCTAATCCTGTAATGACAGGGCAGGCCTAATAACAGGGGAGGGCACTGAAGCGTTCGTCCTTATGGCCGCATCCAACGTACGAGCGCGCGCACGCGCATACGCGGAGTTACAAGCCTCTTAAAATATTTCTTTGTTCAAACAAGCAGACTTCTTAAAAGAAAGAAAAAAAGGAAGGAGAAAAGCAGGAAAAGAGAAGAAAGGCTATTATTGAGAGGGAGGAATGCGCAGTCGTTTTCAGGGTGAAGGCTGCGGGTCACAGGGAGCACACAGGTGAGTGATTTAGCTCAGGTCTTGCTTTGAGCTTCTGAGTGTGGATGTCTTTGGTATGTGTGATTCTCCAAAATTCAGACGGCCGTCACCAAACTAATATTTTTAATGAAATGTTCTTTTCCCACCTTGACAATCAAGCCGACTAAGTTCTCTGCAATTAGTGCAAAACAAAACGGCTTCACCTTAGAAATTACCACTAACTCGTGTGTTAACGAGACGTGATGAAAGCAAGATTTTGCGTCCGGGAAAATCCATAATAACGTAAAAATAAACTCAACTCCAAACCCTAATGACTCCCTTCCCATAATCCTTTGCTCGGGGCTTCTTCGGTAGTTAATTATCTTCTCCCCACCTCTCCTCTGAGTTGCTTTTGTTGTTGTTGTTTTTGTATCTTTTTTTTTTTGCAGTCGAAGAGACCAAGCACATGGCAACCTGGCATGGGGTAGCCACTCCATTAAAATACTATGCCGTCTGGTTGCCAAACACTTGAGCCTCTGTTTAGCCACGGAAACAGTGGAAAGTGTCAACACTGAGAGCGAGGACCCCACACTCAACTTATTAGCGCTATTAGCCTGATTGCTTTGTGCGCTATCTTTGTTGGCTCCACTTTTGTCATCCAGTGCGAGGCTGAGGCAGAGAAAGAGGAAGCGGGGCAGGAAAAAAAAGGAAAGCGGGAGGAGAGATGCTATTCAAATTCAAATCGTCCGAGCAGTCTTTTTTGCTTTTG